TAAATTTCACTAAGAAAAAAAAATTCTTCAAAATACGTGCAAAAGACCCAGACTGCCCCCTTAACAGTTTTAAATTATTTAATTTTCAGTTTTAGGAGTACTATCATTTAAAAAAATCAAATTATAAATTAAAATAATTAACATACTTAAAATATCCAGGCCCACGCATCTTTTTTGTAGACTTATTTCCTGAGCGAACTTACACTACGAATTTTTTTAAAAATTTATTTTTTGCAGAATCTATTTATTGCTTTTAGTTTTTTGCTTTATGAAAATTATATTGGAGATACAGAAAATGTCATGTTCAGAAGGATTCAACTTAAAAATTTTAAAGTAAACCTTTGCTTTATTAGCAATTTTTTCATGCTACGTGTTCAATATGAAAATTATTCACTTGTGGTTTAAATATAATTTTTTATTGAAAGTTATCAATGAATTTGCTGCAAATAAATTTTTAAGTAAAGTTTACAATTTATATTAACCAAAATAATTGTGAATCTTAAATATTTCTGTCTAAAAAGTATGCTAATCTAATTTTAAAAAATAGGTATCTGTTGAGCGAATTAACCCTACATGAGCGAAATTAGCAACATTTTGCTGTCCTCATGAATTTATTTATTTATTTAAAGTATACATTCCTAGGGCTAATAAGCCCACAAAGAAACAGGTTGCATATTACAGTGTTCTTTAAGAAAACATGAGGTAAAAAAAAGTTATATATATGAGGCATTTTACGTGAAATGTCCTAAGTTGAAATTTCAACTTCTTGAAAAAAATTGAAACTCAAGGAATTTGTTGTTCTATCAAGTAGAAATGTGCCCCAAAAAATATTTTTTATTTTTTCGAAAATTTGGAGGGGGTAGAGAGAGGTCAATTTCACCAATTTTGCTAACACCGGCTACTTTGTGAATTTTTTCTGAACATACTTGTAATAGAAACATTTTTTAGAATATGTTTCTGAAAGGCTTTATCGCCCTCTTTCCAATGGTGTATTTTATTTTTTTATATTTTAAAAATTTACCCTAATTTTTTTTTAAAATAAATTATTGCAAACGGAAGCTGGGGTTTTTTCCTATCGGCATGTAAATTTTTAGAATGCCCTTTTTTGTTTTTGAGTTATTAAATTTCAAAGAATAAATTTCGTCCCGGGCGCCTCGCCTCACGCCGGTTGCCACGCGGCAATTTATTCTTTGAAATTTAATAACTCAAAAACAAAAAAAGGGCATTCTGAAAATTACATTTTATTAAAAAATAAAATACACCATTGGAAAGAGGACGAAAAAACCTTTCGGAAACATATTCTAGAAAATTTTTCCCATTACAAGTATGTTCAGAAAAAATTCACAAAGTAGCCGGTGTTAGAAAAATTGGCGAAATTGACACCCCTCTACCCTCTCCAAATTTTCGAAAAAATCAAAAATATTTTTTGGGGAACATTTCTACTTGATAGAACAACAAATTCCCTGAGTTTCAATTTTTTTCAAGAAGTTGAAATTTCAACATTGACAAACAATTCCCTCTGAACTCAAAAATTAGGTCAATTTTAAGGGCAGTTTATAAAAACTTTATAAAAATTGACAAAGTAATCCCTCTGGACTCGAAATTTATGTCTATTTTAAGGGCAGTTTAACCTATATGTCAAAAATTGACAAAGTAATCCCTCTGGACTCGAAATTTATGACAATTTTAAGGGCAGTTAAAAATTGACAAACTAACCCTTCTGCCCTCAAAATTTAGGTCAATTTTACGGGTAGTTTTGACATAATCGTCAAAAATTGACAAACAATTCATTCTGCCCTCAAAAATTCGGTCAATTTTAAGGGCAGTTTTGACCTACAGGTCAAAAATTGACCAAGTTATACCTGTGCCCTTAAAATTTAGGTCAATTTTAAGGGCAGTTTTAACCTAAAGGTCAAAAATTAACAAACTATTCCTCTCTAGATTCTGACTAGAATCTCTAGTCTAGAATAATTAGTCGGGTCCCTATCGAATTCTAGTTAGATAATTTAGACTAGAAAAACTCACTAGAAAACTATCATATTCTAGTCAGGATAATCTGGACTAGAGAAAACTGATCAGGACCTTATTGATTTCCAACTTGACAAACTAGTGTACAAGTATTATACATAAATTTTCTTCTTAGATAAATAATTCAGATTAATTAATAGAAAAACTTACCAGCATCATTTATTAAAAAATTATGTATATATTATTTAATTATTTAACATATTTTAAACAAAATTTCAATATTGTAGAATATAAATATAAATGATGGATTGGGCTAATATTTTCACAGTATTTAGTACTATGTATGAGTATTTCAACCACCAAGTATTATGAAATTTTATAACAAATTGTAGAGGGGGGAGGGGGTTGAAGATTTTGGATAAGTATGAACAGTGAGTTTTCTAAAAAAATCGTAGCTTCTATGTAATAAAGCAAAAAAAATTTTGACCTATATGTTTTTGGTAGGTTTTTTCACGCTCTTTCAAATGGTGAAAATTTTTTTTAAAAATTTTCAAAATTTAACCCTTTTTTTTGAAAATTAAAAATTTTTTTGATTTTTTTTTCAAGAAGGACCCTTTTTTTTTTGTACCAAAAGAAAGCTTAAGATGTGTACTTTGAATAACTAAAACGAAAAAAATGACATTTCTTTTTGTTTTCGAATTATTAATTAATTAATTAATAAAAATTAATAAAAATTGAAATATTTTACAACAAAATAAAGTTAACGCAATTTTGATGTTACTACTGTAAAGCACTACAAAATCCGCATCCAACGAGTCCAATATGAAATATATTGGATAAATTGACGTTTTATAAATAAATATTTATAAAAATTAATTAACAAATGAATATCATTTATAAAAATAAAGATAAAGTGTTAGTTTTTTTTACACAAATGTTTATACAATTCTACTTTTAAAAAAATGTATTCCAGTTATTTGCAACAAATGTTTAAATAAAATATTCATCACCTTATGCGTGTGTTGCGCTGCATAACTATCTTCCCGGCTTAATATTATTTCACATTTTTAATAGAATATTTTTTTATTTTTTACATTTTTGATGTAAGAAAAGATTATTTCTTTTTTACATCAATAATTTTTTATTATTTTAATATTAGGGGAGGTGGGGGCGAAGCGACGCATGGGGCGAAGCGACGCAGTCAACATTTCTCGAGTACAATAAAGTTTAATTTTTTAAAAAATATATTATTAATTGCACCTTTTTAACCTTCATAATTGGTGGCAAAACAAATTTTATTTTATTAACTTATAAGCGTTTGACAATAAATAATGTGTTTTTGACCTCTGGGCATTTAGTTTTTCGAGATAACAGATATCAAATTTTTTGCCACTTATTTTTGCTACTTGGAATTAAAAGTATGTGCTTTGGAAAGTTTAATACCAGTGTTTTTAAGAAATATAAACAATTTTTGGACTTTACGTTTAGAAATGAAGATATAATATTTTTAAATAAAAAATGTACCTTGGGGCGAAGCGACGCATTCTTGAGGGGGCTAAAAAAAAAAATTTTGGAAAGAGAATCAAATTTTATGTTTAGAATGCAAAGTACTTTATTTGTAAATGAAGATCTGCTTGAATATATTAGACCTATTAGAGTAGGCGAAAAACATATTCAAATACTATTTAGTGGTCATAATAAGAGGGGTCATTGGATTTGTACGTATTATGATGGAGTAAGAATTTATATTCCTTGATAAATTTTACATCCGTTCTCATTTATTTTGTTGTAATAAATTTTACGAGGCCTTATGCGGTTTAAACAATTTTATTTATTTTGACGACGTTTCGATACATTGAGTATCCTCTTCAGGTCAAATAATTGAAAATAAAAAACAAACAGTCGTTCAGTCATTTCATCGAAAAAACAAAAGAAAACAGAAACACCTCATAAAGAGGGTTTCCATTAATTTATTATTATTATTTTTTTTTTGATGAAATGACTGAACGACTGTTTGTTTTTTATTTTCAATTATTTGACCTGAAGAGGATACTCAATGTATCGAAACGTCGTCAAAATGAATAAAATTGTTTACACCGTATAAGGCCTCGTAAAATTTATTACAACAAGAATTTATATTTTTGATAGTCTTAATGAAAAATGTCTGAATGGAGATCAGTTGAATTATTTAAGTAGATTATATCCTTTTAAGCCACCAGTAGTTTTTGTTACTGTTGATCAACAACCAATGGGTAGTGTTGAATGCGGAGTATATGCAATAGCATTTGCAACATCATTATTTTATAATGTTATGCCAAACACTGTTAATTACGAAAGCATAAATAAAAAAATGAGGCAGCATTTAAAAAATGTTTTAAGATAATCGTCTATGTCAGTTTTCAGAGATGAGAAGATCGAATATGAGACATTCGATTGTAGAGTGTGATTAGAAGCTTCTTTTGAAATATGAAAAAACAAATTCTTATAATTTTTTGAAGACACACCCTTGGAATAATGTAAATAATAATAAAATTGTAACAATGGAGCAGTCAAAGGATAAGTGTTCTTTGAATAAAAAAAATTATAATAATTTTAATTCAATTAGTAATAATGATAATAGAGGCTGTATAATTGAGCACTCCAAAAGTAAATTAACAATATTAAAGTCCGTATTCCGTTTGCATATATATATTTTGTCTGTTCGCATTTAGTTTGTCTGTTCGCCGTTAGAAGGGACATAGAGCTTTATTTGCTTTAAAGTAATAATAAAATAAAAATAAAATGACCCAAAACTTAAACACCTGATTACTTAAAAAATTATTTTTTTAAACTATTGTAGGAGGAAAAAGTGTATTCATATGTCTACCAAAAATCAAATTCAAGTGTCCGGTTTCACTTATTTTGGTTAAACTACAAATTTTCCTGTTGACGCAAGCTTAATTATTTCAAAAATATAGCCATTTAAAAATTTGGGTGGCTACTACCCATTATGAACCCAAAAAGTTAAATTGGTTTTGAATAATATTATTTAGATGGTGTTTTCGAGTGAAGAAGAAGAAGTTATCGAGGAATATATGCTCCATTCGTCTGACATTTACTACGGTCTATCGGAAATTGAAGGGCGAGAATTGGCTTACCAGTTTTCGAAAAAACTAAATAAAAAGATACCGATTAGTTGGGAAAAAAACAAAATAGCTGGGCGTGATTGGTTCAAGAATTTTATGCAACGTCATAAAAAACTATCAATGAGAAAGCCAGAAGCTACCAGTTTAGCTCGTGCGTCTGCATTCAACAAGACAAACGTTAATTTGTTTTTCGATTTATACGAGAAAGTTAGTGAAAAAATAACTTTTGAGCCACAAAATATTTGGAACCTGGACGAAACAGGCTTAACTACTGTTCATAAACCAGACCGTGTAGTGAGCCGATGTGGCCGCAAACAAGTTGGTCAAATCACTTCGACTGAACGTGGCACACTTGTTTCCATGTGCTTAGCTATCAATGCAGCCGGTGGCAAAGCACCACCATACTTAATTTTTCCACGGGTAAGATTCCAACCACACTTTTTGAACGGTGGTCCAGATCCTTGTTGGGGTGGAGCGAATCCTTCTGGTTTTATGAACAGTGAACACTTTCTTCAATTCTTGACAAAATTTCAGGCATTTACACGATGCACAGTGGAAAACCCAATTTTGATGCTATTAGACAATCATGTATCACATCGCAGCTTAAATGTTCTCAAATTTTGCCGAGAAAATGGAATCCATTTCTTGTCTTTCCCACTGCATTGCAGCCACAGGATGCAACCACTTGATGTATGCGTGTTTGGCCCATTTAAAAAAGCTGCAAATCAACTGTGCAAAGATTGGATGAGAACAAATCCTTCACGCGTGATGCAAATCTACGATTTGCCTGCAATTTTTGCACAAGCACTACTACTTAGTGCAACAGAAGGTTATATTAAGTCAGCTTTTCGAACTCCTGGAATTTGGCCACTGAATCGTCAGATATTCCAAGACATTGATTTTTTGCCTAGTAATGTAACCGATCGACCAAATCCTGAGAATTCTATTGCCAGCGAAGAATCCCATTTAATGCCATCACCCTGCAATCATCAGTCTCAACAAAGCATTGAAGAAGACAGTGACAAAAATTTGAATGATGAAATGGAAGAGAGCATTCCAATTGATTCTCGAATGGCTTCAGGTTCAAGTCAAGACCTTTCAAAACTTCTTGAGGTAATAAAGCCATTTCCAAAAGCACCACCACGCAAAAATGGATCACGGCGTGGAAGAAAACAAGGAAAAACATGCATTCTGACTTCAAATGAGACATTTGAAGAAATTCAAGCAGAAGATAAAGCTCGCAGAGCTAAAGAAACAGCTGCTGAGAGTAGAAAAGCTGTCTCCGCTGCAAAAAAAAAATGTTGCTACACTTAAAAAATTGTCCGCTGCTACAAAGAAAAAAACTGCTGCTCTCAAAAAAAAGTCCACTGCACTAAAAAGAACATCGGAAAAAGATCTGACAGCGGTACCAAAACGCATCAAGAGCCGACGAATGGCGGTTTTTAAGAAAAGTTATGAAGAATTAACGACAGACTCTGAATAAAGCTAAAAAACATTTTTCTCATGTTTAAAAAATATTTTATATTTTTATTATTTAATTTGATTTGAAAATTATAATTTAAAAATTATTAAACTTTTATTTAATTAACAAATATTTAAATAAACAATAAATTTACAATAATCTTCTTTGTTTATTTACTTTTAAATAAGATAATTCGTTTAAAATGCAGGTAATTTTGAGTGCGTCGCTTCGCCCCATACAGTGCGTCGCTTCGCCCCGCTATCGTCGCTTCGCCCCACTATTTTCGTGGTTAGAAAATTGTCTATAACTTTTTTCAGGTTTAGCCTATCAACAAACTATACATTAACAAAAGTTGCGTTATGCCTTGACACATCGTATGGTTAAACGCACAACTCGATATTTAATCGGAATTAGAAAATATTTTAAAATGAAGAAAAGTGCGTCGCTTCGCCCCCACCTCCCCTATTTATTATTATTAAATTATTTTGTAATTAATTTATTAGGAATTACGTAAAAATTTCTTGTTGATATTAAAATAATAAAAAATTATTAATGTAAAAAAGAAACCATCTTTTCTTACATTAAAAATGTAAAAAATAAAAAAATATTCTTTCGAAAATGTCAAAAAATATTAAGCCGGGAAGATAGTTATATAGCGGAACACACCCATAAGGTGTTGAATATTTTATTTAAACAATTGTTGCAAATAACTGGAATACATTTTTTTAAAAGTAGAATTGTATAAACATTTGTGTAAAAAAAAACTAACTCTTTATCTTTATTTTTATAAATGATATTCATTTGTTAATTAATTTTTATAAATATTTATTTATAAAACGTCAATTTATCCAAAATATTTCATATTGGACTCGTTGGATGCGGATTTTGTAGTGCTTTACAGTAGTAACTTCAGAATTGCGTTAACTTTATTTTGTTGTAAAATATTTCAATTTTTATTAATTTTTATTAATTAATTAATTAATAATTCGAAAACAAAAAAAAAGTCATTTTTTTCGATTTAGTTATTGAAAGTACACATCTTAAGCTTTCTTTTGGTACAAAAAAAAGAAAAAAAAGGGTCCTTCTTGAAAAAAAAAATCAAAAAAATTTTTAATTTTTAAAAAAAGGGTTAAATTTTGAAAATTTTTAAAAAAAATTTTCACCATTTGAAAGAGCGTGAAAAAACCTACTAAAAACATATAGGTCAAAATTTTTTTTGCTTTATTATATAGAAGCTACGATTTTTTAGAAAACTCACTGTTTATACTTATCCAAAATCTTCAACCCCCTCCCCCCTCTACAATTTGTTATAAAACTTCATAATACTTGGTGGTTCAAGTACTCATACATAGTACTAAATACTGTGAAAATATTAGCCCAATCCATCAACTTGCAATTTTGACATTGGTACACTTGAGAAATTTTGCCCCAAAAATATAAAAAGTAATGTAATTTGTAACGTTTAATTGTTCAGTAATGTTATAATTAATTATTCTTAACTATCATTAACAATGCAGAATTAAATAAGAGTGAATAATATCTCCTTAAAATTCATAATGTAATTTAAGCAAAGGTCCTTAATGTGAATGAAGAATTCAATTATAAATAGGTAAAGTTGAAAAATAATAATTTTTAGAACCGGTAGAAGTAAACTAGAACTTCTAGTAGGGACCCCATAAACATGATCGTGACAAAAGCGACTAGAACCCCACTAGTTTCTCAAGTTAGAGCCTTTTTTAAAATGGGGTAAACTAGTGTGGTCCCCACTAGAACCCAACCACCATTTCTACACATGATTACTTCCTCATAGAAGAAGTATTGTAATACCAAAATTTTTCGAGTTTTATTTTTGACATACCTTTATGTTGTTTGACCTCAGGAGTTCAAAAATGACATTTTTAAAAAATGTCATTCCGTATGTGTGTGTAAACATCACATTTTCATAAATATCTCGACATCATGAAGAGCTTTTGGGTTGAATTTTTTTAAAATTGAGGCCTTGGATCCAATAACTCGCCCGACGCTCGGAGGAACGCGCAACTACCAGTCAGTGAGCAGTGAGCGCCTCTGGGCCACTCACTGCTACCCGACTGGCATTAGCGCGAGTCTCCGAGCGTCGGGCGAGTTATTGGATCCAAGGCCTCAATTGTAGATCTCACCAGCGGACATAAAGTGAGAGTACTTTGTGATAGATTAATAAAGTTTAACTAAATTTTTTTTATTTTTAATTTTGCAAAAAAACGTTTTTTGTCTATAACTTTAAGGCCAGGTTCCTTCAAACAATTTTCAAAAAATCGAAATTTTTTTCCCCGTAAATTGCTAGAAAATACTCTTAGAAATAATATAGAATTAGTCCCGAAGGTCCGCACTACCAAAAAGTAGGTATACAAGAGGGGAGAGCGGAGCTTGCCAAGCGGTAAATCTGGCCGCTAGAGCACCCCGGATGCTTGTTTATTTCTTTACTAGCAGAGCTACGCGCGCGCGATATTTCTGTTTCTGTCTTTTGATACTCAAGACCTTATTTTATTGTGTGTATATAAAAGTGTAAGACCTTATGATCCGTTTTTTTCTTTTTCTAAAATATTGGAAAAAGATTACAATTTTTTTTTTGAAGAATTAAAAAACGTAAAACACGAAAACCAAAAATTAAATTTAACACACTGAGTTATATTGTAAAATGTTTATAAAACGTTAAGGTAATTACAGATTTTTTCAAGATAATAGAAAGGTTTTTTCGCAAATAGAATTAACATTACCAATTTGTTGAAATTTGTACCACTGTTAGATAAAAGTTATTAATAAATGTAGTTAAATTTTTTAGACCTGTGGGGACTTGTGAAAAAAGTTATAAGCGTCTTTGTTTTTAACTTTTAACATTGAGTTTTGTGGGAATTGAGTACATTTTCAAACATATTTACTCACCACAAAGTACTTAAAATTAAGAAATTAATAAAACATTTTTTAATACGAGACAGATATATAATGGTTAAATATCTGTTTGAAAAGTGTCATTAGGTACCTGTGAGAGTTGCAATAAATTAATTTGTAAAAAAATTTCATGTTTTATACAGTATATTGGACAGCTGTTTGTTGCCATACGTTTCAAAGTACCAAGCAAGTCAAATTACAAAATAATGGTTTTTGTTTTGATTAGTTCAGTCAAGCGATAGAAAAACTTTATATATATTAATTATACATCAGAAGAATTATTTTAATGAAGTATTCTTCCTTCTTTGTTAAAACATTGACACCGAGATTTATTAATAGTCATGATATAAGTCGAGGTATAAGCCGTCCATAAACCACGAGGACAATTTTTTATTAATTTTTGACCCTCCCCCCATCCAATATGGAACACAAATTTTTACTTTATGCAATAGACCTTAATTTTGTCACTCGGTGGTTTTTAGGGACGTTGATTACGAATTTGATGTAAGTTTTCATAAATTTAAAATGGTGTATTCAATATGGCAGAATTTTCTTTTAGATTTATGCAATTGACCTTAATTTTGTTACTCGAGAGTTCTAATACCAGTCAGTTAGCTGTAAATGTCATAGGAGCGCTCACTGACAATTATTTTAGCACTTGCGTCGATTCACGACCAGCGAGCGTGTATAGAAAATTTTTTTTAATTTCTCTTTCCCATATTATATTAGTCATTTGAAATTTTAAAAACAAACATCGCATTCGTAATCAGCGACCCTAAAAACCACCGAGTGACAAAATTAAGATTAATTGCATAAAGTAAACATTCTGTTCCATATTAGATCCGCCATTTTGATTTATGGGAAAGTAAAATTGAATTCGTAATCAGCAACCACAAAAATTCCCGAGTGACAAAATTAAGGTTTATTGCATAAATTTTAAAAAATTTTGTTCTATATATTAAATCCGCTATCTTGAATTTCTTAAAAATAACATTAAATTAGTAATCAGCGACCCCAAAAGCCTTCGAGTAGGAAAACTTAGGCGAATTTAATTACATTTTAGTATTTTGAAAAATAGTCACCACCCCTTTCAAAGTTCCCTTCATATTTTAGGCCATATTTGGTCCGCCATCTTTAAATTTTACATTCTAATTTACTTTTTTTAAAAGTATACAATTTTTGTGCCTCTATGGATGAGAATTGAATATTATTCACGCACGTTTAACTCCTTAGCAGAGTAGTCAAAATAAAGTTTTCGTGTCACAACTTTGCTAAATTTTTTTATTTCTTTTAATGCCAGATATCATTATATTTTATGTTTTTGAGGTTACTGAATCCAAATATTTGGATGGGTAAATGGGTAAAAAAAATAACCAAGCTTGAAAAAATGAAATTTCTTTTCTGTTTTTAAAGATAAAACCGCTATATTTAATTTTTGTTTTAAACGAAATTCTTTTTTTTCACCCCGGAATCAAAAAGAGCACACTCAATACCTATAAGAAACATACTTGCGGTATAAAATATAATCTGTTTTATTCATAAAAGTATAGGTTGAATTTGCGCAAAGAATTTTCTTATTTTAGGCGTTAATGGGTTAATCATTAAAATAATATTATAATATTTGGGGAGAGTGGGACAAACCGTCCAGATGTCAATATCTCCGAAATGGCGAGATTGTCAAAACTGTTGTTTAGAATTTCAAAACAACCATGTGTAGTATACCTTATTTTTAAACTAACATTTATAGGGGAGAGTCTCCAGTTGTGAGACGGGTTTCATTTTTGACCCGTAAATTGTAAACGGGTAAACGAAATTGTTAATAAAATACACCGTTCGAAAGGTAACAGAAATACGCAACTTTTATTAAAAGAAAGTATAGTGTTTCAATGAACTCAAAAAATTTTACGATACATTTTCCGAGCAC